CCCGTCTTCTCCTTACTTCCTCCGTGTTTATTTCTGACCACTCTGTTTTCCTCCTCCTTCAGTCCACATTGCACTCCTAAGGCTAAGACGAGAGACTAAGTTTGAAACCCATGGACAATTATAATTTTAAATATCTGAAGAGGTTAAACTTATCAAAATTCATGACATACCATACTAGTTCGTAAGGGATCAGGCGGTAGCGTAGTTGGTTTGAGCACTACGCTACATGCCGAAAGGTCGCGGGTTCACTCATCGATGAGGTAACGGATTTTTAAATTGACCTATTTCTTCCAGCCGCACTATGCCCCTGGGGTCGACTCAACCTCTTAGCAGAAATGAGTACCAAGCATCTTCCTTGGGCCAAGGATGGCCGGCGCGTAAACTAATAACCTTAACTCCATCTGCGAGCCGATTGTATAGAAACTGTGAAAGCCTCGACTGTCTAGAAATTGTGAGAGCCTCGACGTCTCACAACCTTATGTGCCTCCACGGCCTGTTACAGGGATAGGTTCGTAGGACAGCCTGAATTCGCAATGAAATTAGACTTGGCCCAAGATTAATTCCGAACAGTACACTGTAGATGCCACCGTGATGTAAGCCATTCAATTGTCGTCTTGTTTCAGGCATTAAAACCAGATGTCTCTGTGCGTATTCGAAGTTCTCACAGTGGTGTTTATGAAGATCATTGTCATCTGGAATGTGATTCCGTGTAGTCTGGTAGACAGTTATTATCGTTTCACATTAAGAGTTGCACCCATCCTGAAAATGGGGGCAGAAGATCTCTCTGTAATGTTGGTAGCAATCTGACTTCATGGCGACACATCCAGCAGGACCATAATCTCCAGTGTTGTGTCCCTAGGGGACTCAACCTCCATTACTGTCGTGTTGACCAAAGTTTTGACGTTCTCACGACCATGAATGTGTGTGTGACATCACGTAGGTCGTGTTATTTCAGTCCCGCTCCTACTACCTCCGACTTGTACCCAAGTCCGATACGAGAAAATAGCTTCCTGTAATCCGATTTGCTGACGTCAGTACAATGCTCCGATATCGCAATGGAAATGCTTCAAAATGCGCTCTCATGTAATATACAAGAAACGCACACTGAAAAAGGAGACTAACAACCCCCCTAAAATACTTTAAACTGTTTTCATTTATCAAGAAAATAAATTAACGTAAGGAGACTACTATGTTTATGTGTTTGTATGTCTGTGCTTCCCTCTTTTCAAATTATGAGGTAGCATATTGATTTCCATAATGGTATCGACGTTATACCAATAGAGGACGACACAAACTCGGTTCTGCTGGCCACCTGATTCTTGTTGGTTTCTTACTTGGCTTACTCTTCAACCCTCAAGATATTCCTCCGAAACGTCGATGGACTTGTATCAGATTATACGGCGTTACGTCCCAGAAGATGGTACTCTTCATTGTCAAGGCTGTGAGAACCCTAAATCCAACAGACAATAACTTTTAATAATAATAATAATAATAATAATAATAATAGACGTGTTGGTCTATAAATCCGTGAAATAGGAATGAATATTATTTGGAGCTGTCCCCTCCCCAGTGCTCGTCCGCTTCTCCTTCCCTATCCCATATTCTCCCCAATTATCTTTCTGTCCTGTTCGATGTTCTTCCTCCTTTGTTACCTTCTGTAATTTATTTCTTTCTCCTCTTTCTTCTAAGCCTTTTCTTTTGTTTCCTCTTGTTGACTAATGTTGTATAGACAGCAGGAATTGTCTGCAGTATGGCTGCAGCTGGGGCCGGTGTTCTCTTGGTCAGAAGATGTGGATAATGTTATTTAGTTATTTTTGTCACTGTGAGGAGCACGCGGTAGCGTACTTTGTTGACGCACTATGCTACAAGCCGGAAGGCCGTGGGTTCTATTCCGACGTCATTGACCAAATCCTTTCAGTTGCACTATGGCCCTAGGGTCGACTCAGCCTCTAACAGAAATGAGTACCAAGAATCTTCCTAGGGGTAAAGGGTGGCCGACGCGTAAATCTGGCAACATTACCGCCATCTGTGAGACGATCGTTTAGAAAATGTGGGATCCTCGTCGTCTCACAAAGTTATGGACCTCCACGACCTGTTACAGGGATAGTTATACCTTCTATTTGGGTCACTGTAGCATCTTCTTTCACCACATCATCATGTTAATGAGAGTAATGTACAAATTCTCTCTTTGCTTTACCTTCTCGTTTCTTTGCAAAGTACATCATGTGGTTTCTTATGCATATTGACAGAGATTTGCCTAATGTGATCGGTAGGTCGGCAGGTTAAATTACTGCTGGTCTTTGTCAGCAAAGTCATACCTGGCTTCGATCTCCTGGAGATCCATGACTAAGGTTTTTATTGTCTCCTAGACATGTACGTGTTTCGAAATGTGACCTTCTATTCGACGAAGGAGGGGTCGGTCTTTCTGTGTAGGCTCTACGTTTGTTGCATCGCAGTTTTAGCACGAGAATATCCCCGCTCTCACGGCGTCCAGGTCACTGTGGACTCTGTGCATCCTATGTCACTTTACCATATTAAGCAACATTTATCCAAGGTATATGGAGAATTCATTTGATTTTATATCGTACCTCACAGGAAACACATTACATCTCCACTACAAAACCCAACCGCTTAATGCTGTTTAGGGAAATAATCGCTGTTTATTGTGACAACCATACGGAACACATAAATACGCTGTGTGGGCAGAATGCGGAGTTCAGTTCGTACGTCACAGGAAACACATTACGTCTCCGCTACAAAGCCCAACCAGTTAATGCTGTTTAGGGAAATAATCGCTGTTTACTGTGAGAACCATACGAAATACATGAGTACACTCTGTATGATTAAAATGCAGATCTTTATGTTAACGTGGGTGGTGCGTATAGTAACCACTGTGCTTTAAAAGGTTAATCTGCTATGACAGTGTAAGCCAAATGCTACTCTCGAAGAAGCAGAGATATGGGGTAGATTAATACGTCACTGATTAATGTAATAATTTAAAAAATCTCTTCGCTATAACTGCATCCCAACCCACTCCAACCCCCACGCACCCACATAATTATGGCTCCCCCAACACACACACACACACGCATACGCATATGACTGAGCAACGTGACTAGGACGGTAACGCTTCTGTCTTGTATTCAAGAGGTACCTGGTTCGACTCTGGGACGGGACACAGGTTATCCTCACTCAGTAGTTTCTTGGCTTCCCTTAGTTCCTGTAAGCAAATGCTAGGATAGTATCTCAATCTAGGCTACGACCGCTCCATTCCAAATCCTATTCAGTTTACCATTCAACAACAATACTACCATCCGACTTTATGAATTCTAGATATTGAGAGCGTCGTGAAATGAACAACCAGGAACAGACGGTGGGTCCCAAAGTGCTGTGTCCTAAGGTTGCTGCGTGATTTATGAAAGCCGTATAAGATACATACATAGTCTCGAGTTGTGTGTGTTTGGATCTGCGTTCCGAATGAGGACTAAGCAAAAGAGGATAAGTTAAAAATCCCGCAATGGAATCGAGAATTTAAATCCTTCATTACATTTTACAGTGCCTAGCTCGAGGTGACACGCCTGGCCATGCGGGCTGCATAAGGGAAGGG